AAAAAAAAAAAAAAAAAACCGTACACACGCAAAGCTGTACGTTTTCAAAAAAAACACAAAGCGGCAATAAGAAAATCAGCGAAGTTGTATATACATATATACAGTCAAATGTATATATATAAGTCTCTCACAGCCCTCGTTTGTTGTCCTCTTCTCCCTCTCTGCCTACTGGTTACCTGCCAGCTCTTTTTGATGTATCTGACCTCTCTGCCTCTATACATACAGACATGCATACATACATACATACATATGCAATAATATATCGCAATAGAAAATATATAAATAGCCAAAAAAAACCTCAATCAGGGCATACTCACACGAGGATTATCTTAAATGTATCTAACCGCAACTACGGCCGGAATTGGACGTATCTGCCCGCAATTACGTCCAAAAATTAGTAATACAAAAGTCCTCCCTTGTAGTGTGAGTATGCCCTCAAGCGGAAAGTAGACGAGTACGATGAGCAGGCAGAAAAACGATAACCGCGGAAGCAAAAGGCAAGGGACTGCTGCAAAGGGCTTCGTTCCACGGCACTCGATTTACACCCCACTGCATCATCGCAGCCGTCGATGTGACCAGTCAACGACCACTACGTGTTAGGATAGATCGATCGCTTGAGCTTGGTCTCCAGCCGTTGATGTGAGAAGTCGGGACCGGGGGGGGGGGATGCTACTTGTTCGTGTGCAGCCGTTGATGTGAAAAATCTACGATCACAAACTGTTAGAAAAAAAAAAAAAGGAGAAAAAAAACTGCTGTAGGATTGCTTGCTTTCGAAATCGAGATCCCCGAAGAGCGATGGAGGCAAGGAGTAAGTGGCAAAAAAGAAAGAGAAGAAGAGGAGGACAGACAGGAGAAAAGAGGGGGGGGGCGGGGGGGAGGGGGGAGGGGAAGAGAGGAGAGAGGAGGAGGAGGACAGACAGGAGAAAAGCAAGGGGAGACGAGCGGGAAAAAGAGGGCAATTGGGCGCGTGTCTCTCACCTTTCCACGCGGAGACCGCCGGTGCGGTGCCGCGGCTGCGCTGCGCGGGTTCGCAGTTGCGGAGGTCGTCCAGCGCAAGCAATGGATGCGCGCGCAAGGACAAGAGGGGCGGATGTGGGGCGACGACTGGACTGGCGTTGCGGCCGGTCCGCCGGGCGTGTGCGACGTGTGCGGCGTGCAGAAGTTCGAAATGCCGACAGTCTCTACATGAGGGGCCTCGCCGCACTACTCGCCAAATGTAAAAATAAAAAATGAGAATGAATCTTCCCCTATAACATGCAAAGATGCACCGCCATCATCTCTGTCTTTTGCGCATTTACTGAGTAGTGCGGCGAGGCGCCAAGGCTGAGTTCCTGCGTCCCTCGGTTCTGCAATTAAGACCGTTGATCTCTCTAATCTACGGCTCAGAGCGACGAGCCGGGGAAGTAGGACGTCGCGCCCAGGTGGAGTGGCTGCTACCGGTAGGCAGCAAGTACCGCGCGCATGGACTACCGGTAGGGCAAACTCAAGCTGGGGGTTTTCGAAAAATGAAACTGGACGGATCTGCGATCAAATGCGGGGATGGAAAATCCGAGAGTGAGTATGACTGGATCGTTGTTGACCTTCCACTTTGAACGTGGTTCGCGAAGAGGACAGCTACAGAATAATAATAATAATAATAATAATAATAATAATAATAATAATAATAATAATAATAATAATAAAATAATAATAATAATAAAATAATAATAATAATAATATAATAAAAATAAAATTGCTGGCGAAACCTTGGGCACTCTTAGGTTCCACAGGGGCAAATATGGTGTCCTTAGTGGGATCCAAAAGGAGGCCCTTACCGGGGCCGCCCACTTCGGGGTTATTCCCTGCCATTCGGGGCATTTTTAGGACGTCCTGGGCCATTTTAGACCCCTACCGTTCACGTGCGGCAGTGGAATTAGCCAGCAGAAAATAGCGACCTTTGGCTGGCCCCCCTTCAGACAGAGAGGACACAACCCGCTCCCGCTTCGTGTGTTGTCCGTCTGAATCTGATTGGACGATACACACATTCAGCAGGAAGCGCCGTAATCAGAGAAAACCATCAGAAAGCAAAAGGAAACTGAAGTAATAAACCAAGAGCCTTGCTCAGTGGGTACACCCATGAACTGTTGAAATACAGACAGACCCGAGATGAAGGTACTTGATGAGTGAAACCAACTAAGAATGAATTGAATTGCCTGGGGCTTGCCTGGGGCCGGTCACCTCAATGGTCACCTCAATGATATAATATCTCAAGGCCGTCAAAAAAAAAAAAAAAAAAAAAATCCAGCGGCCTAGCTCAGTGGGAAAGGCCCGCAAGTGGCGGTCATGGGTTCAATCCCCATTGGCCTCATGCCTTCCTGGGCTTACTTGGCACCCGCTACCCAAGAGATAGACCACTGGATCCCCCGATCAGCATCAAGCAGAGTCTGCTATGTTTGTAGGGGAGGGGCCTGAGGGGAGGCACGGGGGATTGGTCCACTTTATCCCTGGTGCTACCGGCCGTCCCCTGGCAGGTATCCTGCAGGCTCGAGGGGCCGTAAAAACACGGCTCTGGTATGCTACGGTTTCCCGTATGCCTATAGGTAGGAGTAGTGGTAGGTAGGTAGTGTGAGGAAAAATTGAGAGAATAGTATAGTTTTAGAAAAAAGAATAAAAAAAAAAGGGAAAAAAAAAAACAGAAAGAAAAAAGGGGTTCCACATAACGGCTTAGGTGTGAAAGGACGGCCATATGCTACGGAATTTTTTTATTTTATTTTTTTTGCCGGACAACGGGTCCGGCGTGGTCCGGAATATGCTACAGATTTCCAAAAAAAACAAAAACAAAAAAAAGAATATGCTACAGATTATTATCGTATTACCGGCGGGAGTCCAGGGGCCTGATCCCATTAGCAAAGAGGATTAGATTTAATTCGGGAATCTGGGTGTGTTTGGAGCACAGATGCGGAAAAGCTGATCAATCGCAATTTTCCGCATCTTTCCACAAACATGTCCAGATTCAGGAATTAAATCCAATCCTCTTTGCTAATGAGACCAGGCCCAAGGAGGCAACTAGATGAACGAAATTCTTGACCGTGGCATCACACATTATCGTATCCATTAGATATGCGCTAAATTCCAGCTCCTGATCTGCATATCAAAGAGATACATGTAAACATTGCTCAGCCACAGGCTCTGCACAGTTCATTTCGTTGATTCCTCTCCCCCCGGGCCCTCCCCGTCTGCAGACTTAGATACTGACGGCATAGTGAGACCGTTTTGACTGAGCTCTAGACGTGATTGCAGTAAGATGCATCCAGGCCCTTGGTCATAATTGCAGTCATATTCATTTCAGAAAGTGCTAGTGTGACTATGCCCTTATCATTGTTCTTCGCTAATTTTTTTTTATTTTTTATTTTTATTTTTTGACAAAAAACAGTCCCTCCAGTGCTAGGGATGTTGTTCAGAGCAGACATAGCTAGCACCTGGGGAGAGGCTCCATCTATTGGTGGGGAGCGTCACCTGCTGGAAAACGGGTCTAGCGTCCCTTACACAGTTTGATACAATATGATACAAAGAAGAGGAACTGAATGGTGTCTGGAGGGTGCCTGCCAGCATTGATTGCTCTGGAATCCAGAGGATTGACTGAGCAGGTGTGAACATGACCCTAACAGTGGAACTGAAAGCTGGTGGTCCCCATCTCCCTCTCCAACCCTGTGTCCAGTCAGGGTTCCGGGAGGAGCCACTGGGGGGCACCAGTGGGGACTCCTTCTGTCTCCCTGCCCATCCCCCAAAAGAACCTACACTTCGACACTGTCCTCCGCCGGTCCTACCCTGCTGCCACACACTGGTAGCGAATTTGAAGCATTGCAGAGTGAAGCAAGCTAAAACTAATAAAAATGGATAATCCAGACTAAAACGAGCTAAAAAACAGACTGAAACTGAATGACAAACACAGGCTAAACTAAATAAAACAGACTACAACACAAACAGTCTGGAACACAGACTAAAAAGCGAACCAGAACAGAGTAAAACAGACGAAAAAAGCGGACTGAAATGGCTAGCCTGAGTGAAAAAAGACTGAAACAGACAAAAGACAGACTAAAGTAAGGTACCGAAGAGGCAGAATGGATTAGAAAATTGAAAACTTTTGGTATCCTTCGATTTCACTGAGCAGGGACTCTTTCTTCACCAATCGTGAGGGCTTCCCTGTTACAGACGTGTTTCCAAGGACTCTGGGTAGGGGGGGAACGGGTCTGGGAACTCCTCTGCAGGTCTCATAGGGATGCTAGAATCTACTGTCAGCCAATCCTTAAATCTCAGTCGGTAGTCCCTTGGCACCTCCTCTCCATGGCTTCCCTCCCCCCCTTCCTCTCCTTCCCAATCCCCTGTCCAGCATACTTCTGCTACCCATCCCTCCCGGTCTCCACCCAACCATTCCCTGGAAAACTGTAGTAGCCGTTCCCGGATGTCTTTGGATCTATGGAGATTGTCTAGTGTTTGCCGAGTTGTCTTCCATCTGTGCGAGAGTTCCAGTTGGAAGTGCAGTTTGAATTGTTCCACCCTCTCTTCTCCCTCTACCCGAACTTGGTCTAGAGTTAGGACGCAGCGTTGCCACCACAGGACCCACAGGATCGTTCATCGGGACAGGTGGAACATGTTCGACACAAAGGTGTCGTCTTGGAAAGGTGGGTAGTGGCCCGTTAGGATGGCACGTCAATCCCACAGCCATGGATGGCCCAGGACCATTTGTTGCGACACCCTATCCCACCACCTCCAGCTCAGAATGGCTGCTGGACATTGTAGAAATATATGCTCAATTGTCTCTGCTCTCTTTCTAGCCGGGAAACCCAACAGGCATCAAGAGCACCAAGGGAGCGCACAGCCTTGTTGTTCTAACTGTGAGTGATCGATCAACCAGTTGTTTGTTGGTAGGCACCGATGCAAGATTTGCCACTGCAGAGATGTAATTTTCGCTAGTAAAGGCGAAATCAGCTCAGTTGGTACACCCCTGAACTGTTGAGATGCAGACCTGAGTTCAAGCTCCACCAGAAGCAGATGACTAAAAGCAACTGCCCTTGGAGGCGCCCTCCAATGACAGGGACTGGTTGCTATTTGGTCGGCCCGCGTCAGTGGTTTACTCTTGGGGTCCATTCCATTGGGACTTTGGTGCTTGGGTTTGTGTGCATTTGACCTCATCCTTGACCGCACTTCATTCCACGATGGCACATTCACAGCTACCCTCTACATCTACGGTGCTCAACATCAGCAGGCAACATCAACGATCTCAAAGTCTGGGACTAGGCGGCTTACCCAGGATGCAGAACAACTTCGGGTATCTGGGTAGGACATGAAAACACCTAATCCCATTCCGACCTCAATTAGTGAAGCAGTCGTACGCCATATGTACTGCTTTATTTTGGGAGACATGGTTCAAGCCCGGACCTATCACTTTCTTGTGCAAAGAAGAGCCATACTCTGTCTCTTATACACATCTAGATGTGTATAAGAGACAGGTCGTCCGCCATATGTACTGCTTTATTTTGGGAGACATGGTTCAAGCCCGGACCTATCACTTTCTTGTGCAAAGAAGAGCCATACTAATATTGGGCGCATGAGATAGGGTAATTGGTAACTTGTCAGGCTCATAATCTGAATGTTGTAGCTTCAAATCCTACTCCTGCCAATCTTCCACCAATCTTTTTTTTTTTTTTTTTTTTTTTTTTTTTTTTTTTTTTTTTCAAAACGGAAGACACCCGCGAGAGTGTTACCGGTAAGGGTGTTGATAAGAGCAGACACCACTAGCATTCCCCGGGGGCTCCATCTATTGGTGGGGAGCAACACCTGCTGGAAATCGGGTCCAGCATCCCTACTGTTACAGATGAATGGTTGCACAGACATTTAGGTATATGACAGTAGGCTGCAGATCGTTTCTAGGGTACGACATGCCTGACAAGCATACCCATTCTGCTGCTCAAAGTGGCTGCCTATATGACTAGACATCAAAAGTGAAAGTATCAGCGGGCCCCATCGCTGCTGCTGCCCCTTTTGATCACGCCCCAGTCTCTGCAGGCAA